TTTTGTGTATTAGAAATGTACAACAGTGGTATCATACTAAAAGCATTATTTCCAAACTTGCTTTTTCCAGTTCGGCTTTGAAATATATTCATGTTGATATACATAGATCATTAATTCAATATCATACAATTTATACCAATTAATTTATTCATTCCTCCCTTAATGGACATTTAGGTGGTTTCTTGCTTTTGCATTACAACAGTGCTGTAGTGAACATCCTTGAACTTGACATCTTGGGCATGTGGAAGGTACACCTTTGGTTGTGGGTTGTCATCAACAGAATAGGAAAGGAGCCACTTCTCCCTGACTGGCTAGTGCTTGGTAGGTCCACACTTTTTATTTTTTTTGCCAATCTTATAGGAGTGAAATGTCCTTTCTCGATTTCTGTTTCTCTGATACTTTGAAGGGGGGCATCTTTTCACATGTTTATAAGCCATCTGAGCCTCCACGTTAGGACACATGGACTCTTCAGACACCAGATCTGCTAGTGCCTTGATCTCTAACTTTCCAGCCTCCAAAACTGTGAGAAATAAATTTCTGTTGTTTGTAAGCCATCCAGTCTATGGTACTCTGTTACAGCAGCCCAAACAGACTAAGAAATTTCTTAAGGCTCCTTCTCAAAAGCCTCTTTGAAATTATTTCCTTTTGATACTCCTTAATGGCCCAGAGAGGAGAAATGTCTTACATCTGGCAAGGGTAAAAGGTGTAGAGAGGGAAAAAAAAAATAGTAAATTTCCCTTCAAGTTCAGTCTGCGTCAATGCCTCTGCTAACTTGCATGTCAAAGAGTTAGGCTCTAAGAATTAAATACTAATTGTAATTGCTTTTCACATTTGAATGTTTGTCAGTCATAGCAAAGGACCATCAGGTTGACTGGGGAAAGTGGGAGTCTCACTGTTATTGGAGATGCTTTTAATAAATCAGCTTTCTGACAGTCTTAGAAACTAGGGGGGCAACTCATAAGTTCCTCCACAGCTATGGTGCCTGGGTCTGTCTTGGACACATCTGAGCCGTGGAATTAAAGAGGCTGTTTTGTAACACTCAGGCACTACCCCCTTCATGCCTTTCCTTGACACCCAGGATACTACCTCTTGCCAGCTCAGTGGTCTGTATCTACAGGGATTCCACCTTTCCAGAGAAAATCTTAATGAATGTTACTTGGAAAGCAGACAGGACGGGTAACTCAGGAACACAATCCTGTGGGACTGATTTTACACTGAAAGGTAAAACTTGGCCATAATTTCTATGGCTCTCAGATGACACATTGTGGGAAGAAACACTGAAACAGTGGTCTCCATTTGGATTTCCCTCTGCCCAGAGCTTACAGCCCTTCTCACTGTTAGGCATGCCTTGCTCCTGAACAGTCACGGTTCCCTGCCCCGGGAGACACCTGGTTATCATGAACCTTCCCTTCACCTGAGTTTCCAGTCACTGTATGTCAGAAGTTTGGATAGTGCTGGGAGACGGGAAGGACAGAATAGTCTCTCCCTGTCTTCTAGACTTGACACATCATAATGGTTTACACTATACACGTTTAAGTAGCTCTGCTGGGTACACTGAGAGGGACCTGTTACGACGTTGCTTCGGTTATAGCCGTAGTCTCTGTGGGGTGGGGGGATTGCCTGGGGTTTCTCCAGCGTGTTTTTATTGCTCAGATGCTTACTCACAACAGGGAGAACTTACTGCTTGACTAGTTGTCATCGTACTTGGTTGTGTGGTCTTGTGCAGAAGGAGCCCCAGGATGGCTGTTGTCATGCCTAGGACATCAGCGCTGGTGACCATGTTGTAGTGCATGACCAGAATACTGTGGTGACCATGATCCTCTTGGTGGCATGGCAGCTGAATAACTCAGAGGGCTAACGAGGTTGAAGATGCTGAAGGAACCTTCTACAGTGATCGCTAGGAGTGTCCTGAGAGATACCACCAAGTTATGGCCTAAAGTGGGATTGAGGTTGTGATGGGAATCTTTTAGAGACTTTTTTTTAACTGCGGTTAATTCTGGAGTGGGGCGGAGGATAAACCTGGACATCACTTTCCTCCTGTGCTTCCCAGGTGACTAGTGCTCACCTTCTGTGTCTTGTGAGTGTAGGGTACTTTAGTGCTTAGCAGAAGCTGCTCGTGATTGGACTGCTGCTGGACGGGGGCTCACAGGTAGCTCGTTTGTGATGCTAATTCTTGCCAAAGGGTTTTAAAATATTGCCTTTATAAAGTGCCTCCCCAGCACAGAAACTTGAAGAATTTTGAATAGCTTGGTTCTTGATTGGCCTTTCGCTGTTCATTCCTTCTTTCAGCTTGATGACTCTGAGAAATGAGCCTTTCCTTTTTTCCCTTCTGACTCCCAGCGTTGTTTCAGACAGAGATTCCTTTCTGTACCTGTTTTCCTTGTACTGTTCACATGCCTTAGGAGTTCCACAGGAGGGGAAGATTCTGTCTGCTCCTGCAGCTCTCGCCTGAACCAAGTGTAACTGCGTAATGAGCCCTCACTTGCATCGTGAGAGGAGTGTGCAGTTCTTATGAAGAAACTGCAAAATGAGAAATTACAGTTTTGCTTAAGGAATCAAAGAACATTTGCGGGGAGGCTAAGGAAGAATTTCTTTTTCTGAGTGGTGTAATTACAAAGGATAGTGATTTTTACAGGAAAAAAAAGATCGCAAGTCCTAATGTATTTGAAAGAATAGACTTGTGAGATGTTTATAATACGTAGATTACTTACCTAAGCCTTTTCTTCTCCTGCATAAGCTCTTGTGATATTTGCAGATGATGTCTAGTAGTTATATTTTTAAAAACAAGTATTTTTTTTATTAGTCGCAACCTAAAAACCTGTTACTATTGTCATAGCCAAAGATTTCACTGCACATTATGTACTTGAGCAGTGTGAATTCCGGATAGCAGACGCCTGGGAAACACCCATAGATTGCAAACCAAATGGGGACCCTCCGTTTATTGCTATGGCCATGTCGGGGAAAGAGGACCATTTATAATTTCCCCCAGGGAAACCTTTGGAGTCATTTACAAAACAAAACAAAACATAACAAAAAACAAAGCTTATACTAGTGGGGTTTTTTGTAGTTGTTGTTTAACTCATGGCAGTGAAACTAGAGTCCCTCATTTTTTGCAGTTATCTGACATTTTTGATACTTCGTAGCTTTTAAAGAATTTGCGGGTTTTCCTTTATGTTAGTAGTTCCTTAATTTAAGTCTAGAAAAAGACTGCAGAAGCTGTAGGTGTCTTAAATGGCATAAACTACTTGAAATCAGGTCAGAGGATTAGTTACACTCTGGAAAATAGCATTTATTGACTGTTATATTCAGATGAGAGTGTAAAAGATCATGTTCAGTAAGGTCCTAAAGTGGCAAAAGTATAAAGTATAAGTTTCTTTTATGGTCTGCCTCTTGTTGAATCACAGAATCAGTTCTTAGCTAATTACCTGGATATTTGGACAGTTTCATTACTAGTTATTAAAGAATGAATTTTCTGTTGGTCAGATTCTTTTTTAGTATCTTGGTACGAGCCCCGTGGCCTGGATCGAATTCAGATTCTCTGCCTTCAGGGACACATGAAAGATTATAGAGCTGTGGTGTCCACGCTTGGCTTTGGGAAGGGTGCCCTTTTGTTATCAGCAAAGGGCTTGTTCTTCAGTCGTTGGGAGTTTCCTTGTCATCAGAAAACAAGAGCCGGCTACCTTAGGGACCACAGAGGTATGCGCTGAACTCGTGGTCAAAGAGAATGGAGTCTGGGAAAGCTCCCTGGGACCGGGAGTCGCCTCATTCTAAAGGAGGACTGAGAAGCAAAGAAGTATGTCCATTCACACGGTGCCAATCTGTTTGGGGGAGTGGGAGTGGAGAACAGTTTATTTTTGTTGATAGCAGTGAAATAGAACATTGTTTCTTGGGCAGCTTTGGATTAAGAACATTTTACAGTTTTGCAACAGTATTCTTTTTTTTTTTTTTTTTACACTACTACAACACCCGGTCTTCCTAGGTAGTCTCCCATCCAAGTACTAACCAGGCCCGACCCTGCTTAGCTTCCGAGATCAGACGGGATTGGGCTTGTTCAGGGTAGCACGACCGTTGACACAGCAGTATTCTTGTATAGCCCATTAAGTCCATAAATATGAGGTTCAGGTAAAAAAATGGTTTATCTCTTGCAGGTAAAATCGTATTCCTGCTCTACAAATATTTTGTTTTTCTCTTTTAGACTTGATCTTTCAGATGTAGTCTTGCCAATACATTCCTAATTTAAAAAATCTATTTTAAAGAAGGTGCCAACTACTTTCTTGAGAGAAAATTGACATTACAAAGAGCTTTTCCTGTCCCACTGATTAGCATAGAGTCAGACAGAAAAGGAAGCTCTGTGGTACGAGACATGGTCTTAAATTGATGACCATAGATTTTAAGTAGAAGAAATCTGAAGCCTGAATTCCTTTGGGAAAAGCAAAACCTTTTTATGATTCTACAGCTCAGCCCAGAGTGGCTTTCCCTGCCTGATCCTTGCACCTTCAGCAGAAAAGTTGGGAATCTAGCGTGATCTGATTTCTCAGGCAAAACCTTTTCTTTGAGTCAGGGAGAGACCCTTACAGTACTGACAGTCATGGGAAGTCTGGACAGAATAAATTTGTGTCACCTTCTGGTTTTTTCCTGAACTCTTACTTTTGAATGTGAAATGAAGAGGGACAGTTGCCTTCCTATGGTTGTAATATACTGTAGCTCTAAAATTAAAGCCTTTAGAGAACTTAGACGGAATCTGAGAACTGGGAAAGGAAGAGATTGTGGGCTTTTGTGCATAAAAAGATGGATGGAGGTGACCAAAGATGCATCATTCAATGAAAATGTACCAGCTGCCTCTCAGGCACTAGCAGTGTTGTGCATGCTGGGGAACACAGAGCAGGGAACTGAACAGAATTTGTGTTCTTACTCACGAAGCAGATGTTCTGTGAGCTCTAGGGAAATCGTAGCTTGCCAGATGTTTTGATTCCCTCTTTTCCTCTCTTCCTTTATGTTAGGAAAGAAGAATAAGCTGAACAGATTCTGACTGTTGGCTTTCAGCTCACGAAGGACCTGCCTAGCTCTCCTTTCGTGGTCCATGTGCTGCATCCTCTGCCTTCAGTGTGCAACCGGCCCCCTACGCAATGTGTGTTTGTCAAACCATGGAAGTGGGGCAGTATGGCAAGAACGCAAGTCGGGCAGGAGACCGGGGAGTCCTCCTGGAGCCCTTCATCCACCAGGTGGGCGGACACAGCAGCATGATGCGCTACGACGACCACACTGTGTGCAAGCCCCTCATCTCCCGGGAGCAGCGTTTCTACGAGTCCCTCCCCCCCGAAATGAAGGAGTTCACCCCTGAGTACAAAGGTTAGTCACTGGCCAGTTTGGAGAGAGCAGCAGCCTTGGGCTCGGCCCTCTGCTCAGTTTTCCTTGTTTTGTTTGCTCTGTGATGTGATTGTGGGTCTCTGTTGTCTCAAAGCAGCTCAGTCACTTTGTTAAGCAAAATTTGAGACTGAAAGCATCAGTTGAGGTCTTTAGATCTTGAAAATTGAATTTATTGATAGATACACCTGAGAAGAATTCACAGCGTTAAGTCCCATTGGTGAAGGGCATGCTGGTGTCAGGGTTTCCTGTTTGCTGGGATGGTCTAGGAGAGAAGGAGGCAGCCCTGTTCTGGTCCCAGAGGAGGAAGAATTGGGTGCTTTCCAGGCTGTGGCAGGGAGACAGCTGGCAAGGGGGCCCTGTGGAGGCCGCGTCTGGATGTGCTGGGGGAATGAATTGATGGTAAGAAATTTACAGAAAGACTGGGGTCTGGAGGTCCTAACTTTTGAAGGAAAAAGAATCTGTTTCAAAATGGAGGTTAACTTTATATAGAGTAAAATTCTATGAGTATATACCAGAATTAAGTTACTTCATTTTAAAACCTGATTTTTATAATTATGTTTATACACTTTTATGATTACCTGTCATGTATAAGTTATATTTTTTTGTGTTCTGCTTTTTAACTTTTCTAAAGCTGTATGAATTCAGTCATGTTTACAGCATCCTTTACGTAGGGGATCCTCAATTTACAAAAACCAATCTGTATCAGTATCGATTTCTGTTTCCTTAACTCTTTATTGTTATAAAATATACATAACATAAAATTTGCCATTTTTACGTGTACACTTCAGTGGCATTAAGTACATTCACAGTGTTGTGTAACTATTACCATTATCTGTTTCCAGAAGTTTTTCATCACCCCAAACAAAACTCTGTAACCATTAAGTAATCTCTCCATCTCCCCCTTGCCCAGAATCCTGAGTAACCTTGACTTTCTGTCTACAAATTTGCCTATTGTAGGTATTTCATGCAAGTGGGACTATGGAATTTTTGTCCTTTTGTGCCTGTCTTGTTTCACTTAGCATCATGTTTTCAGGGTCCATCCATCTTGCAGCCTGTATCAGAGCTTCATTTCTTTTTACAGCCGAATACTATTCCACCGTAAATATATAGCACATGTGGTTTATCCATTCTTCTGTAGATGCACATTTGGGTTGTTTCCACCTTTTGGCTATTGCGAATACTGCTTCTGTGAATATTAGCTTACAGGTATGTGTTTAAGTCTTTTCAGTTCTTTGAGGGTTATCCCTAGGAGTAGAATTGCTGTGGATCATATGATAATTCTGTGGTTAACTTTTTGAAGAATTGCCAAACTTTTCTATAGCAGCTGTACCATTTGACAGTCTTACCAGCCGTGTTTCTATTTCTCCACATCCTTGCCAACACTTATTTTTCATTTTTAAAATAAATTATTATAGCCATCCTGGTGTGACGTGGTATCTCATTGTGGTTTTGATTTTCATTTTCTTAATGATCGATGATGTTGATGAGCTTATTGGCCAGTTGTGTATCTTCTCTGGAGAAATGTCTGTTCAAGTCCTCTGTGCAGTTTTGAGTTGGATGATTTGCTAGCTACTGTTTTCAAAAACAATCAGAAGAATATTGAATTTGGAGGAATAAATATTCTAAGACTACAAAATAAGAGAGAAGCCAGAATCAAACACAGTGCTTGCTGTCTCTAAGCGGCTAAAGAGCAGCCGTTGCAAATGCTTTGTCAGTGCAGTGTCAGCCTCTTACTTGTCCACACTCAACACATCCATGGCCAGACCTTCTGCCAGAAATGTGCCAAAACCAGACTGAGAGCTACAGGCCCTGCTAGCGCATGGAGCCCTGCTGCTAAGGAGAAAAGCCCTGAAAAGGGAGTTGAGCCTGGTTCCAGAGAAAGATTTTCTAAATCACAACCCCCAGAACTGGGACAGGTTGGGATCGAGGTGTCTTCTGGGGTGGAGTGTCAGTCATAGCACTGGTTCAGTGTCCCCCTGCTGCAGCCTTTTCTCAGACTGGGGACCAGAGTCGTTAAAAGCCTAAGTGAATCCATAGTATCTACTTGATTTTCTTTGCTCCGGCTACATTTTCACTAGAAAAATAATAAGTATACTTTCTCAGAAATACAATCCAGTGAAACTAAAACTGATCCCTTCTTTTTAATCAAATGCAGTCCAATTTATTCAAAGGAAATGGAAGATACTATTGGTCCAATTCATATATTTCAAAGACCAGCATAGGGTTTTTACCTTTAATTTTGAAATAAATTTTACGTTACAGAAAAGTCACAAAAATCGTAGAGTTCCCGTATGCTGTTTCCTGTAACGCTCCCACGATGTTAATGCAGCAGGTAAAGCCCGTGGCAGGGCAGCACATGTCCCACAGAGGGCTCCCTTTACGCGCCTGGCTCCCCAGCGGCCCAGCAGGACTGGCAGCCCCATGCAGGGAGAGTCTGACCCATCTCTTCGAGCTCTCGAGTCCTTCTGAGATGATGTTTTAAAACATCTGTATGAATTGAAAGCTGTGGTTGATGGTCTTTCCAAGATGATTTGGGTGCGAGATGCGCACTTGCATGTAACCAACATAATCCAAGCCGATGAGCCCGCCGCTTTATTGCCCAGTACGCTGGACTTAAATTCATTGCTTGGGAAGGATTACAGGGTGCTGACAGACATCGTGATCATCGCAGACCCTGCCTCCCCTCTTCTCTCCCTGCACCAGCTGTTCTGTGACCGCTCCTGGGTCCCGTTCACTGTCCACACACATTCAGCAGTCAAGAGCGTGCCAGAAAACCTTGACTGCTTAAATTAGCAGACTAAAAAACAGTTCCTCGATGAATATCAGCTGGGTATTACTTTAATTTGGAAGAATGTGCCAAAGACTCGAATGAAGTTCAGTGCCCAAATGATGGGTCACATTAAAGGAGAAGGGAGCATTGCATGTATTTTGTGCTCTCTGGCCAGAAGCATAATGCTGTAAATTTAACCCTTATAAATAGCTGGGTAGAGATAGCTGTTCTTCAACTAAAAGGGGGAAGCAGTAAAGTTAAAAAGCCACTGTCTCCATCATCTCTGCTCTTGGGAAGAGCTTCTGGCTCACTGGGAATGAACTCACTGTGGCAGATGTTGTGCTGTGGTCTGCTCCAGCAGAAAGGAGGCTGCAGTGTGACAGCGCAGTACAACGGTGCAAGCCACCATGCAGAAGTGGGTGGGGGCCTGCGAAAACCTGGCCCCTTTAACACTGCTTACAAGATCCTTAAATGAATTTCAGTAAGCAATTTTAAAGGATTAAGATTTTAAAAATGGTGCTATTACATGTGTATGCTATAATCAAAGTTGGGTATCTATAAATACATCATATTTAAAGCATAACTATAGTACAACTTGTAATTACCAAAACCGGTAAATGGACACTGATATAAATACTATTAATTAATCCATACACTGTATTCAGATTTTGGCAGTTTTCCCACTTATGTCCTTTTTCTGGTTCAGGATTTCACATTGTATTTAGTCCTTAGTCTCTTCCACTCTGGGATAGTTTCTCAGTCTTTCTTTGTCTCTCATGACATTGACACTTAGTAAGAGTCCTAGCAGTTATTTTGTAGAATGTCCTTAAACGTAGACTTGTCTTATATTTCCTCATGACCAGATTGAGGTTATATATTTTGGGCAACAGAAATGACCCTGTGTTTTCCTCAGCTCATCATGTCAGGAGTACCTGTCTTGTTACTGGTGATTAATTTTGTTCACTTAGTTTAGGTGCTGTCTGCCAGGCTTCTCCACTATAAAGCTATTATTTTTCCTGTTGTAATTAATGAATATCTTAGGGGAGACACTTTGAGACTACATATATTCTGCTTTTTGTCATTCTTTAGTCCACTAATTTTAGAATCCATCAATAGTTCTTGCCTACAGCAGTTATTACTGTGATGCATGCCTCATAGTGACTTATGTTTCCATCATTCCTTCTGTATTAATTGGAAGTAATTACAGTTCTGTAAGGAAGAATCGTCCCTTCTCACTCATTTATCAGTATGGACTTAATGAATATTTTATTGCTCAAATTATTCTTGATTTGGTCACTGGGTCTTGTGTACTTGTGACATATACTCCCACAGTTTTTATACTTTTTTTACTTTCAGTTACTACAAGATACTCCGGGCTCATCTTGTATTTTTCCTCCTCCATTAAGGAACCAACCATTTCTCCAAGGAACTCTGTTTCCTTTTTTTGTAGGAATAGTGTTTAGAAAAGATAAGATCTTGGCACTAGATATACTGAGTGCTACTGGAATATCATTACTTTTAGGCCCTTTCAGTAGACAAATTTAGAAAATGCATGTATATATACTAACCCACACATATATACACACATCTGTATTGCCAGACACACAGGTAATTTAAAAACTCAACCAACCTAACGAAAAATGCCAGTAACATTCCATAGTACTAGATGTGAAGTTCTAGGCTTCTGTATCTTTATGCAGAACTTTGCTTCATTCGTTTATCAAATATTTTTTGAGCATCTACTAAATGTCAGGTCCTGTACTCATCAGTGTAAAAGGCAAAAAAAAGTCCATACCTTCAAGGAGCTTACATGCTAATATGAGAAAAGGTAACAAACATAGACCAAACAGTTACAGATTGTGATAAATGCTACGAAGAAACTAAGTAAGGTTCTGCAGCTGAAAATAGTAAGGCTTCCAGAACGGAACACTTGCTATAAGGCGATCAGGGAAGGAGTATATGAGGAGACTTGAAGGACTGAAGGATGAAGAGCAGCCTTAAACATTTCTCTAGAAAAGATACACAAATGGCCAATAAGCACATGAAAAGATACTCAGCATCATTAGTCATTAGGAAAATGCACATCAAAACCACAGTGAGATGCCACTTCACGCCAGGATGGCTATAATAATTTATTTAAAAAATGAAAAATAAGTGTTGACAAGGATGTGGAGAAATAGGAACATGGCTGATACAGCTGCTACAGAAAACAGTTTGACAATTCCTCAAAAAACCACAGAATTACCACATGATCCAGCAATTCTACTCCTAGGGATAACCCTCAAAGAACTGAAAACAGACTCAAACATATACCTGTAAGCTCATATTCACAGAAGTATTATTCGCAATAGCCAGAAGGTGGAAACAACCCAAATGTTCATCAACAGAAGAATGGATAAACCACATGTGCTATATATTTACGGTGGAATAGTATTCGGCTGTAAAAAGAAATGAAGCTCTGATATAGGCTGCAAGATGGATGGACCCTGAAAACATGATGCTAAGTGAAACAAGACAGGCACAAAAGGACAAAAATTCCATAGTCCCACTTGCATGAAATACCTACAATAGGCAAATTTGTAGAGATAAAGTCGAGGTTACCCAGGATTCTGGGCAAGAGAAATGGGAAGTGATTACTTACTGCTTACGGAGTTTTGTTTGAGGTGATGAAAAACTCCTGGAAATAGATATTCTATTGATGTTTTAAAGATAAGAGAATATTGTGAATAACTTTGTGCCAATAAATTCTACAACTTAGATGAACTAGACAGTTTCTTAAAAGAAACACTATAAAAACTCATTCAAGAAGAAATAGATAATCTAGATCGTCCTGTCTATTAAACAAATTGAAGTGGGAGTTTAAAGCATTCTAACAAAGAAATTCCAGGCCCACCCTCACGGCTTCCCTGGTAAATTCTACCAAAGATTTAAGAAAGAAATATCCAATTCTACACAAACTTTTCTAAAAAATTGAAGAGGGAATATACCCTAGCTCATTCTGTAAGTCCATTATAAGAAAATAAATGTCCTTCAAGAACCGAGATATAAAAAAATTTGAAAAAAGTTTTAGTGGATTGAATCCAATATGTTAAAAGGATAATATGTTGCGACCAAGTAGGGTTGATATGAATAATGCAGGGTAGGTTGCAGGTAGGTTTAACATTCAAAAACTAAAGTGATTTACCATATTAATAACCTAAAAAAAGAAAAAAAAGTGATTATCTCAACAGATGCAGGAAAAGCGTTTGATAGTATCCGGCATCCATTCTTGATAAAACAACAAAACTCTCAGCAAACTAGGAATAGAAGGAAAGTTCCTCAACTCGATAAAAGGCATCTATGAAAAACCTACAGCTAGCATCATGCTTAATGATCAAACAGTTGCTTTCCCTGCTAAGATCAAGAATAAGATAAGGGTTGTCCATGCTCTCCATTTCTAGTCAACATTTTACTGGAGGTTCTGGCCAGGGCAGTTAGGCAAAAAATGAAATGATCGAAAGCATCTGAATTGGAAAGGAAGAAATAAAACTCTTTATTTGCAGACAACATAGAATTCTGTCTTCAGCCAAACTAGCAATCAAGTATTGGAGTAGAATAAAATCCTGCAAAGGACTCAGAAAATTGATCTCCTAAACACCCTTCCTTAGGAAGTTACTTGGATATTCCACTCTAATAGGGAGTAAACCAAGAACGGGAAGTAGAGGATCATGAAAGATAGTTTTCACTCTGGTCCGCTGCAGCAGAGAGGGGTCCAGCATGGGAGCTGTGTGGCAGGCCTAGAGGACACTCTAGATCAGAGCATGGGGGAGTGCCCAGGAGACAAGATTGTAGACCAGAGGGCATTCAGACTTGAACAAAATTGAGACTGGTGAAGACAGAGAGGAAGTTAAAGAGGCGCAGGCCTGCAGGAGAGGCAGCTGTCTGTGTAAGAAAGCCGGAGTACTGATGCGAAGCCCGCTAAGGTGAGGCATATGTTTGAGCAGTGTGATGGGAATGTGAGAATAAAGAACTCATTTCACTTTGATGTTTTAAGGATTTTTTTTTTTTTTCTAAAAAGACTCAGGGATTAGAGCAGTGCCCATTTGGAGAAGGAAATGGGCTGAACAGAAGGATATTCTTGGTCTGGCATATTAACATTCATAAATGCTTCTCACTGATTTCAGATTATAGAGCCAGTTGTGCACACCAAGAGTGAAGAAAGACATAGCAGACAGAAGGTTGGATGTGGAAGTTAAAAGGCAGTCTGGAAGTTAAAAAAGCCAGAAACCTTCCTTCTTGAGTTAGGTTTCTAGGTATTGCATTTTAATTGCTTTGGTAATGATCCAGAAGAAACTAAGAACAACCTGTTAGATAAAAATGGACGCAACAAACTGTTTTTGCATGAGTACAGCATGGAAGATACAAAGCTGTCTCAACTTAATGCCAGCAGAAGTTCTCTCTGGTGAGATTAGAATCACCTGATGCTCGGTGTGGGCAGGAGACATACTTTTAGGACTTCCTTGGAAGGATAAGTCCTGAGGTCTCTAGGTGACACCGTCAGGCAGAAGGAAACCCAGATCTAGAAAAGGACACAGGAAATGGCAGTATCATAGATCAGTTCAGTAAGTAGAGAGTTAAATTATGTCAGGCGTGGATGTCACCGAGGGAGCACAGTTCTTTTGAATGGTATAGAAGTCAGTAATTGAAAATAAGAGAATGGAAATAAATATGGTTTTATCCAAGATCAAAGGTAAGTAGCAGACTTAGAGTGGGAGTGAATAGTCAGCCAATTTCTGGAAAGATGTCTGCTGGTCATTGCTCGTACCTCGATCGACAATTCATTCAGGGCAGGTGACGTCAGTGTCAGCAGTGTGTACTGCATGGATCCAGCCCATGTAGACATTTGTTGACCGGCTGTCTTTTTTCCAACAGGTGTGGTGTCTGTTTGTTTTGAGGGGGACAGTGATGGTTACATCAACTTGGTGGCCTACCCTTATGTGGAAAGTGAGACCGTGGAGCAGGACGATACCCCAGAGCGGGAGCAACCTCGACGCAAGCATTCCCGCCGGAGCCTGCATCGGTCAGGCAGTGGCAGTGACCACAAGGAGGAGAAAGCCAGCCTGTCCTTCGAGACCTCTGAGAGGTAGAGGGGTGGTGAGCAGGGCTGAGGGTGCATCTCCGGTCCCGTCAGCACAGATGCTCAAGACATTTCTAGAGTACCATGCATGGGGAAGTGGGGCCCAAGTTTGGGGAAGGTGGCTGGTGTTCCTGGGCCACCCACGTAGGTGCAGCCATCTGCTGTGTGTCACATCATCCGAGTGATGCCCGCCTCATTATGGCTATAGCTGCTTAAGAGATGCAGCTCTCTGAACTCTTGGGAAGCAAGGATGCCCTGCGCTCTCCAGCTTTGTCATGTCTCACACCCCCAAGACGTGTCGAAATGCATTGATTCTCTGAGAGGCTGCAGCAGCTTTCTAACCTGGAGTTTGTCAGAGCCCAGGAGCAGTAGGAGGCCATCCAGACTAGTGTTCTTTAAGGGCTTTGGTGTCAGACCTCTCCGAGACTCTCTATCAGCTATTAACCCTTTCCCTGCACCTGAAATTTAGTTTATTGCATTGGACATAGATTAGATGTTTTTGTGAATTAAGAAAGTTATCAAAGAATTCTGTTTCTTCATATTTCAGGCAAAAAAAGTGAACTCCCACTAGGGTAGCTATAATCAAAAAGACAGACAATAAAAGTGTTGATGAGAAAGTAGAGAAATTGGAACCTTCTTGCATTGTCGATGGGAATGTAAAATAGCGCAGCCACTCTGGAAAACAGTGAATTCTTTAAAAAGTGAGACCCAGCACTTCTTCTCCTAGGTATATACCCAAGAGAATTGAAGAAACATATTCACACACAAAACTTGTACACAGACGTTCGTAGCGGCATTGTTCCTAATAGCCGAACAGTGGAAACAACCCAAGTGTCTATCAACTGATGAATGGATAAATAAATGTGGTCTAGCCATACAGTAGAATGTTACTTTGCCGTAAAAAGTAATGGAGTATGATATGTGCTGCAACATGGATGAACCTTGAAAACATTACGCTCAGTGAAAGAGGCCAGACACAACCAACCACGTTATGTGATTCTGTTTATGTAAAATGTTCAGAATAAGCAAATCCATAGAGATAGAAAGCATGTTAGTGGATGCCAGGGACTGGGGGAGGGTGGGAAGTAACTGCTAATGGTGATGGGGTGATGACACGTTCTAAAAATTAGAGAGGGTTCATATTTTACAACCTTGCAAATATACTAAAGAACCACTGAATTATAACAAAATAAAACAAACCCCCCCAACATAAACTAATGTAAACTAAAAGGAATGTGAGCTTCCTGAAACAAAGTGAAATCAAAATTGTATGATTAAATTATATTTAATTTCACTCAGAAATAAGTTACTATGAATCAGATGCCCTGTGGCCTGACTCAGTTGGAGGTGGGCTTTTCTTAGATGTGGCAGCACACAGTGTGTCTCTGACATCAGACCAGCAGCACACGGCACACCTGGCTCCCGCGGCACAAGGGCCCAGGGCGATCTGCTTTCCTCGCTCCCTTTGATGGGAGGGAGCACACACTCATCAAGGAGTCCAGAACCCCACGGGACTCTGGCTGAGAGTGTGGTGTCTCACTTCCTGTGTTCTCAGTTGGGGTTCTCGGTGGCCAGGTCTGCATCTCTGATGCCAGGAGAGGGCATCATCTCTGCTTTGTGGCGGGGTCTCCAGATACTAAACATTCTGTGGAATGTGGACTCCGGCCTGCAGAGCACGGCTTCCAGGGCCGCCTCTTCATTACCCATGGGGCTTCCTTATGACTGATGATTATGTGACCTAAGCTTGGTCGTTCAGATGACAAAGATTGTTCTTCAAGCCCATAGCTGGCAGTTGATGCTATTCTGAACAGCCCTTTGAGTGGGCTTTCTTTTGTCCTCCTAAAGTACAGAAATTATTTCCTGTGTCATCTGGTGAAAAGCCAGAGAATATAGAATCACAAGGTCTGCCCGTTACCAGGTTCAAGGCCCTGCTCCGAAGGTAACGTCTCTATCTGCAGTGACCAGACTTCCGTTGGGCTTGTTAGCAGAGTCTCTAAGTCACTCCCAGGAGTGGAGCTTGTTTCTTCCCTAGGGCCAGGGCTACAACCAAGGGTCATGCCAAGGGCCTTGGGTGCCCTGTGCAGGCACAGAAAACTTCCTTGGGTTGACCTGGCAAGTAAATCAACCTTGCCGATTCTTAAAGGAGATTACAAAAAGGCATCCATGAATGGCCTCAGCAGTGCCCACTCCAGAAGAAAATGGTTTTGTCATGCTGTTACAAAAAGGCATCCATGAATGGCCTCAGCAGTGCCAGAAGAAAATGGTTTTGTCATGCTGCGAGGCACCGGCGGCTCCTCTACTTCTAGTTGAAGAGCAGTGTGATCTCTGCCAGCGCCTCCTAGCCAGTGTCACCCAGCCGGCCCAGCCCCCTGCCGGGGAGCACCAGCATTTCTGGCACACACTGGCCCTGGTGGTCACCTTGACGCTGACCCATTCCACAGCTAGAGGAGAGGCCAGGAGTTCTGGAGAGGGGAGTGGCATGGACACTGCCATGGCGCACATGGTCTCTGCCATTTCCAGGGCACATGGCTTCGCCAGCACTTCACTTTTCACTGCTTGGCGGTGTGCGAAGCAGCACTGCAGGTTACTTTAGGCAAAGACTTTTATGTTGGGGAAAAAATGAAGGTGTAGTGAAGTTAGAACCTTTCCAATCGGAGTCATCTTTGCACCAAAACCCCTTTGTGGTTTGACTTATTTTAGAAACAAAATTCCAATACTCAGATGGCTTCATGCTTTCCACAGGTGCAAACCTTGTCCACTGAGAAACTCAGGTTCCTTGGGGCCTGCCCTTTCTTTTCTGATATTTTCCTCTTTCTTCTAGGCCCAATACAAAGGCAGACAGACATTCATAAGCATAACATCAGCATCAGCTTTCTTCACGTCTTACTAAAGATTCTCTTGTAGATATTGTGGACACTACACTCTTGTCTGAAAGAATAGTTACTCCTGCCCTTAACAGTGGCATCCTGCGCTCCATGCTATATTCGTTAAGTATGAAATTATATGCTTACCAATTTCTGTATTTTTTTAAATTGTGGTAGAATACACATAGCATAAAATTTACCATTTTCAACCTTTTCCCAGCGTACAGTTCAGTGGCATTAAGTACATTCACACTGTCCATTTCCAGGATGACTTTACCATCCCTAGAAGGAGCTCTGCACGTATTAAGCAATGAACTCCGTCCTCCCCACAAACCCTTAGCAACTGCCATTCTACGTTCTGTTGCTGTGAATTTGCCTCTATCTTGTATGAGTGGAATCATACCATATTTCTCCTTTTGTGTGTGGCTTATTTTACTTAGCAGAATGTGTTCAGGTTCATCCAAGTTGTTACATGTATCAGCATTTAATTTTTTCGTGGTTGAATACTATTCCATTGTATACATATGCCATGTTTTGTTTGTCCGTTCATCCACTGATGGACACTTGGGTGGTTTCCAGCTCTCGTTTACAGTAATGCTGTTGTGAACATTGGTGTAAAGTAATTATTTTTCTGTTTCCGGTTCTTTAGGTATTTATTGAGCCATATGATAATTCTGTGTTTAGCTTTTTTTGAGGAACCGCCAGACATTTCTACAGTGGCTGCACCATTTCACATTTCCACCAGCAGCGCACGAGAATTCCAGTTTCTCTACCTCCTCCACACTCACTCCCATTTATTTTTGTACTAGCCTCCCTATAGGTGCGAAGTGGTATCTTCATCACACTGTTAAATGCAAAGAATTGTTTTTTAGACATTGTTTGGAGACACACAGGAAGATCACTAATACCGTTTACTCATTTGTATGTGCTCGTGCATCTGGGGCCCCCATGCCACCCACCAGCAGGGTCTGTGAGTAGCAGATTAGGCCTGACCCGCCCTGTGCAGTGAGACCCCAGAGGGTGACTTGTCCGAGCCTGTTAGCAGTGTGTATGTTTTTCCTCCTT